CTAGATCATATATTAAGACGTAAGGATTAAGACGTAAAGATTTAGATGTATAGATTTGGAGATACACATAGATATATACAAGATTAAGACTTATAGAAATGACGTAGACGTATAGCGATAGGAAAAGTTTGAAGGTTTTTTTTATATCGTTTCCCACCGAAACGATAAACCGGATGGACTCTCAAGATCATGTTCATTTTCAGATGAGTATAAGTGGAAATAGTACAAGTAATGTAGGAGAACAGGGCATTGGCACAGTGATTCTATTTTTGTCATTTGGTGTCTTAGCTGCGTGTATATGCAAACTGATACTTTCGCAATTATTAAAAAACAAAGTTCCGGCTCCATTTACAGTGATTGTTCTCATATTGGGTTTGATTATTGGCATTATTACGGCACATATTAATCAGATGAACAATGATTTTCTACTCGGGGAACAAGAATTGAATGGAATTAATCCTCATCTTATTTTTTTTATTTTTTTACCATTGCTTATCTTCGATTCAGCTTTCAATAGTCGTTTTCATGTTATACAACCACAGATAATCTCAGCAATACTTCTAGCTGGTCCTGGAGTATTTATCTGTACGATAATAGTCGCATTATGTGCTGTTTATATATTTCCATATCATTGGTCATGGATAGATGCTTTGATGTTTGGAAGTATTCTCAGTGCCACGGATCCTGTCGCTGTAGTTACATTATTACATGAGTCTGGTGCAAGTAAATCATTGGCAGCATTGATTGATCTTGAATCATTACTTAACGATGGTTCAGCATTTGTTATTTTCTCTATTTTCAAGGATATTGTTATCAAGAAAGCCACAACTACCACGAGTATCATTGTCGAAATTCTCAAGTTTACTATGGGTAAGTGATTTCGTTTTCAGTAATCTAGACATAAACGATTTGCTTTCTGTCGTCTGAGTAACGTCGTTTTCAAATTTTATTCTTTGTTTTTTCTTTTTCAATGAATCATTTCAGGAGGTCCCGCTTTCGGTTTAGCTTGTGGCATTTTAGCAGTATTTATTTTAAATCTGCTCAATAATGAATTGGAAATAGAAATCATATCAACATTTGGTTTGGCCTATTTGATTTTCTATCTTGCTGATGTTGAACTTGGCGTTTCAGCTGTATTGGCTATGGTCGTCATGGGATTGTATATGGCTAAGCATAAATATTGTATTAGTAGTCGTGTACAACTTCCGATAGCGAGCACTTGGCGTATTATTATTTATTTTATTAATATTCTCATTTTTATGATTACAGGAATTATTTTGGCTCATTCATTAGTTGGAACTCAAAAGCATGTTGATGCAATCGATTTTGGCTACTCAATCGTTTTATATCTAGCTTTACATATTGCACGTTTGTTGGCCGCAGTTATTCTGCATCCATTCATCAAATGGAGTGGTGTGAATCTCTCGTGGAAAGAATATATTGTTCTTGTCTGGAGTGGTTTACGTGGTAGTATGGCAGTGATCTTGGCGTTGATGGTCGATTCAGAGAAAGTGATTGATGAAATGACAAGACATCGTGTTCTGTTTCATATTTGTATGATTGCACTTCTCACTTTAACTATTAATGGAACCAGCAGTAAATTCGTGGTGAGATTTCTTGGACTAAATCATGGTATGTGCACTTTTATCAAAGAGAAAAAATCATACTTCATCATTCATATAATTTATGTAAAGTTTTAATGCGATAAGTGTCACACAATTTGTTGGGATTACGTAGGGCTGATTTACTTAAATATCGTTGACCAATGTAAGAATGATCTTTAAAGGTTTATCATAGACGGACTCTATGAATATTCAGAAGATAGTAATCTTTAGATATAAAGGAAGCGAAGATGACGAGAAAACGTAAAATTATTGGAGTTAGTTTTGTTTTGACACGAAATAATAGCTTTTGAAAAAACATCATTATTATGCTTCTCGTGAAAATCAAGAGATTCGAATGAAAAATGAAATATACAATTTCGAGAAACTAATCAAAGATTGGAAGATATCAATGTTGAAAGCTTTCAGTTCAATATACAAAATATCATGAGATCCGTCAATTACTATAAACTTGATAAGAAATGACGAATTTCCCGTTAGCTGATACCCGATAACGTAACGACAATATCCATTGCTTACATATAGATATTCAATTGTTAACAAACACATTGAAGTCTCATGTAAAAAATAGGAGTGAAATCAGATTAAAATCGATTATAATCGGAGAAAGCAGTCATTTCGTTGTACTAATCGATTATTATTGATTAAGACTGATTGTAATCAATCCCCATTCAATTAATAATCGATTAAAAGGTATATGATTATAATCGATTTTTAATTGGTGCAGAATCTATTTTAATTAGCTAAAATCGGTTATAATCGGTACAACAGTTGCTTCCCAATACTACCGCTTACAAAAAATGTCAGTTGATTTTTATCTGTTTTTAATCAATGACAAATTAGCTAACAGATGTTTCTCGCTATTGTGTTTTACATCAGATTTTCGATGCGACTTTCGAGATAATTGAATCGCTGTTCTAAATTCAAACCAAGTCATACCCAGATGAAATCGTTTTTTTCATGTGCATAAAGAAATCAACCTCAATATCTAAGATTTTGTTTTGTTCTTACGTATATCGAGTCTAAATAGGTTGTTCCATCATTTTTTGAATAACAAAGATGATAGTTACTGATGTAGGATTGCCTGTGCATGCCGTTCATTACCAAGTACTGGAGTAATAATCTATCTATTAGGGGTGATATCTTCACACTTCTCTTTATTGAGAAAAACGATAACTGACTAACTTAACAATAAACAAAAATGAAAAACAAACAATACACAACGTACACACCTCTCCTCTTTCGAGAAGACAGCATCGATAGATGTGGCGCGTGACTAGATCAAAGAAAAGAGATAGAAATGAAATAGAGTGGAACGATGTGAAGGTCAAGCCCGTAACAGTCGGGGCCCCCCCGAAAACGCGCCCCCCCCCCCCCTCCCTTAGAGAAGATGTGTGTTCGCACACGTGGTTCAACAAAAAAAGTTTAACAGCAAGAATAACGATGAGATAGAGAAAAATATATCTAAGGAAAAAAAGTAGATGTTGTAAATATAAAACAATAAATCTAATTGTATGACAACACAAGAAAGAAAATAGAAACACAAGAGGAAAACCAAAACCAAAAACAAATATATCTATATATCTTTTTTTTTATTGTTATTGTTTTTTCCGTGGATTTGTTTTCTTGTGAATACGTTGGTAATGTTCTTCCGTGAACATATGATGATCTAATTTGTGTTCTATGTCTTGTCGGGTTGCTTCATCCCTAACTCCAATAAATAATAATTTACCAACAACATTGATATTAACATAATGGATATTCATATATATTAACACATTTTTAATTTGCGTAATGGTAAATTCGTGATAGATTTCTCGGATTATTTCAAATCGATATCGTTTAGCGCGTTTTTTCCGGCTTTTCTTTTGATTTCGTGTGAGTGGTTTATCAGATAAATGTTGTTGATATTTATTATTATTCGTGAGTTGTTGTTCATCGTCATCCGATATAATTTCAATATCATTTTGACGATCATTTCGTGCATGACCTTTATTTGGATGATTTCTATAATCTAATGATTGTGTATGATCTGTTACTTGATTTTGATTTAAAGGGAAATGGAGTCTCATTATTTCAGGTAAAGATATAACATCAGTATCATCATCACTAATCATTTCCAAAGAATCATTTCGATCATGACTCCCGGTTAATATATCATATGTTGGTGTGTCATCGATTTTAATATCATCATATAATTTAACAAATTCATTTTTTCCATGTACATCGATATCATAACTAATTTCATTAATTGGCCATTTATTAACAGGTTCTTGTTTATAATCGAATTCAAATTCATCATCCGATATTGTTTCAAGTTCATTTGTAATTAATGGCATTGGTAATGTTGAGCTTGGTAGTGATGGTAATTCATGTACTAGCTTTGTGACAGCAAGACCATCGTTCAAAGCATACATGATCATCAATTGCCTAATTTCTTCTTCATCTGTCATAATTTTTAATACCAGTAAAAGAGAAATGTGATAATATAATGTTAAATCTAATTGATAATGTTGATGCTGGATGTATAATAATTCATAGAATTATTTTCTTTGTATTTATTATAACCCTCTCAGACAATCCCGAATGGAACTATCTCTTCAATTCAATTGAGGGTTTCCAGACAGTTTCCAATAAAACTATCTCTAACCAAAATAAATGAAAAAAAATTCTCTTACTGAGTTGTATATATATATTTTCGTTTTTTTAAAATTCTGTTGGAATATTAATTTCTTGCTTTGTGTTAGTTCGTATTTTATTATTAGTGAATAATAATAAAATTATCGGTCACAGCACCAAATATTAGGGGTAATATCTTCACACTTCTCTTTATTGAGAAAAACGATAACTGACTAACTTAACAATAAACAAAAATGAAAAACAAACAATACACAACGCACACACCTCTCCTCTTTCGAGAAGACAAAATCGATAGATGTGGCGCGTGACTAGATCAAAGAAAAGAGATAGAAATCAAATAGAGTGGAACGATGTAAAGGGCAAGCCCGTAATACTATCTTTCTAAATTCTCCATATATCATATTTTTAAGATTTCAACAGTGATTTATTTTACACTGTTGAAATGAACAATCTTTAAATTATTAGGATAGCTTTAACTTTAACTTTTATCACGCAACATAATCATAAAAATCATCTGTAATGATTTTTTTCAAATGTCTTCTTAGTAATTACGAAAAATCAATAAAGAAGTGACTTCTGATCGTGGAAGTTCTCAAAACATGTTTTTTCAGCCTAGGATCAGCTTTGCGTGATTTTCGTAAACTATTCTGTTGAAAACTTGAATAACTTCTAATTGAGTTTTCAATTTAGCTATTTTAACCTGCATAAAACTCAGTTCGCTATTATTGCATTCAAAAGGAGAATTCATTCTAATATATTATTAGTAGTAGAAGTTTATTTTAAATTAACAAAATCTCAATGATTATAATCGATTCAAGAAACGAATCAATTTTTGTGGATTTTAAGCGAAAAAAAAATAATAAAATGCTGATGAAAACCAATTATTACTCAAAATCGATTCTAATTGGTTAATAAAAACCATAGACAATCGATTATAGTCGCTTTAATCGATTTTATGCGATTAAAGTAAAAGAAATCGATTATGACTGGTGAAAAATCTTTTATTCCTAATCATTCTTTTTAAAAAAAATCGATTAAAATCTTCAATTTAATCAGAAAAAATCATAATTGCTCGATTTTCATCAATTATTTGTGGTGCGAATCGATTATAATCAAGAATATGTTGATTTTTCGCGTAATTGTTTTTTACATGGGGTGTATCTTATTTGACAGGTATTTTCCTATACTTACTTAATTCTATGAAAGTATTGATTCAACACGACTTCAAAGCTTTCAATGAAAATTACAATCTCAAACGAATAAAAACGTATTGTGTCAACAGAATTTCTAGTCTGCTTATAGTCAAGGAAAATGGATGGTTGAATAGCATAAAGATATTCACTTGAATAGTTTATAGAATGATTGAAAATTACAGTTCCAAAGTTATATAGAATAACTTCATTATATTTCAATGTATGAATTTATCTTTCTTCTTATTCAAGGTACACCAGAAAGTGAAACAGTTCTATTACAAGCTCTTCAACATATGCGAAAGCAGACATCGGAACAACTCTATACAATGAAACATGATAAACAATTTACTGACGTTGATTGGATTATTCTTAATGAATATTTGCCTGAAAAGCTCGTCCAAGAGATGGATGCACAAAGAAGAACAAGTGTTCATAGGAGATTATCAATAACGCCTGAGCATGATGTACAATGTGTTCCAGCAGATTCACGATCTGAAATCGTTGCAAGAGCTGTTGAATCATCGGAAGTTCCGACTATCATTGAGAATGATGCTGTTTCTCATGCGTCAATTAGCAGTCAACATTGTACATTACATCATGATTTTGTGCTACGAATGGTCGGTTTTCGAGCAGCAGACAGTCACAAAGGTCAGAATATGCGTAACGAATTAATCACACGTTTTCTTACAGCACTATCGGTAGATTATGAAAAGCAATGGTATATCGGTAAGATCCGTCGTTCTACACTTTATATTCTAATGGAATCAGTAGAAAAAGCCAAACATCGCTGCTCACTCAAACTCCATTGGGAACTGCTTGTTCAACACTGTCGATTTTCACCTTTCTTATGGTACTTAATCCGATTCAATAAAATCAATTGGATCAATAAACAATTGACTAGATTACTGTTTGACCATATCTTTCTAACTATCGAATTAATTCTAGGTAAGTAATTGACTACTGATCCAAAACCTCCGCTTCTATCGACTTGATGACAACATATTGTCTGTCTTGTAGCCTTCCATTCAGCAAGAACACGTATGGAAAATATTAGACTTCTATTTCCAGAACTTGTTAGTATTGATCCACAGATTTGGAATGAAGTTTATCAAGAGACCAGTTTTTATCATCAAATGGCTACTTATATTCTTCTTGATTTAAAAGAATCTTATCCAGTATGCTGGCGAGTTGAAATGACCAAGCGATGTGCTCAAATGTTGCTAAAATACGAATCAACAGCTATTAAAGAACTCTATCAAACTGGAATGTTGGGTGAAACAGAACGTTCACGTATTCTCGAATTAATCGAAAAGAAATTATTTAATTTAGAATTTTCCCACGTTAAAATGCCAAAAACTGAACAGACAACTATTGAAAATACTTTTGATTTGTTATTTTTTGTTCGATCGATTCCTGACGGTGAAAAACTGGCATGGGAAGCGGTTATGAAACCGAAACATGAATGGTTTCAGCCTGGAAAAGTTCTTATAGAAAAAGGAAAAACAGTATCCAGCGCTTATTTGATTGTTCGAGGTGTGGTGCAATGTGAAATAGATACACATTATATTATGTATCGATCGAGTAATATAATTGGTATCGATGCTTTATTTTCAGAAAACTTGACTGCATATGGTACTTATTCTGTCAGCGGCGGACTCTTGGAAGCTTATCGTATTGATAGAACATTATTAAATCAATTATTAGTCGATGATAATATAGCCCCATTAATCTATTGTGAAATCGCCTCGCATATCTTGAATAATAAGTATCAACAAGATTTGAAATTAAATCGTTTGCAAGTAACACTACTACTGCAAAATAGAGCGAAATTCTATCGAAAACAAAACGATCTATTGATTCACTTGGAAGAGTACGATCGCTTATTTCTCGTTGCTGGTAGTATTAGCTATTATTCGAAAGGGCAAAATCTCGTCTATGATTCTATTCTATTTAAAATGTTCCAAACGCCAACGGACATTTTCTTAGATAGATCGACAGTAGCTTATACGTGGAAAAATGAAGATGAAATCTATCTTTTCAAAAATGATAATATTAACAGTCGTCTTTCAATTCAAAATTTCGGTTCGATTTCTAACAATCTTATCTATCCAAGATATTCGGCTCAACTCGCCGAACTCTCTGAATATTGATACTTAGTAAAACTGTGACGATACGCGTAGAATTTCTGTACAGTATTCAAGATATATCTGTTGATGTAGAAATTCCTTTGCAGCATAATTTTCTACTCTGAACTCTTTATGTTTGTTTCATCGTTCACCATGCTTCTAGCTATGATAATGGAAAGGTTCATATAAAAAAATGTCATGATACAACTGATTTTTTACAACTAAATTTTCGTATAGATGGTGTGGGTGTGTGTAACGCAATATGATTAATATCAATAATATTTCGAATGGATAGGAAGTGAATATCCAGATATATAGAATTGCGTATATATCGAGATAATTAACCGATATAGAATTATCGAACTTTGTAAGTCGTACAATCAATAATTTCTGGATAATACCAACTTGTAATAATTTATTTAATATTGAGTTTATAATAAATAAGAAAGCAGCAGCGCTGATAATAATATATGTATGTGTTACACACAACAAATACACACAATAATTCTAAGTGTACGTTTCTCAATGCAAGTGGAGTCTAACTATTTTCTAACCACGTTGTACTATTGACTATTTCTGCCCAACTCATATCACGAGCAACTCAGAATCAACAACTAACTCAAACTGAACTCATATTTCATATTTCTCGCGAGCTTATATATCGGAGAGAGAATAAGGAAAAATATAAATAGGAGAGAGAAGATACATAGAGAGAAAAGGTACTGCGAGAGGAAGAGATACAAAGAGAAGGAGATTTATAGGGATAAAGAGATATATAGGAAGAAAAGGATACAGAGAATGATTACGTACTGCTCAGTGGGCGATTATGTGTTGTCATATACAAGGATGTCCCTTAGCAATGTAAGCTCAATTACGTTACGTCTATATGTTCGTTGGTTCTATGACTTATAAGTGGACGTCCAGCGGTTTCTATAACCTCTTGAGGGTGTGAGCGTGGATGTACTTTTATTTTATCATGCTTAGCCGACACCCACACCCTTTGAAGACGAGGTCAACGCATAACGAAATCTGATTATTGATCGTTTTAAACAAACAAAATTGGTTACCGATATATTTTTAAACGAAACACATTGTATGATAAACTTATTAATCATTTTGATATTTTTTTCGAGAAACATTTTATATACATATTTTTTTCGAAAAATGGAAAATAAAAAAGCTTACTCAAGATGAATAAAATGGCCATATGATTATCTGATACTTGAGCATTTCGAAAGATCTTATTATAGAAAGGTAGCCCATCTTCTCCTTTACAAAATTACATAATTTGATCAATTAATTTTATAGAAGTTTTTCATAAAAATAATCCATGCATGAGGAGGGGTCGAAACTTTTGGACTACCCTTTAGTCGTCTTCTATTTACATGCATACTTAAGAAGCAATCAATTTTTAGCTTAAAATGTGTTTCATTTTTGCCTTTCTCGCCGCACCATAACGCGAACAACCCGTGGTCACATGATAAACTACGCACTAAAAAAATTAATAAGATCCACTCTAAGTAATAGCTGCACTACTCCTTCACACCATTTTACTTACAGACGCTTAACCGATCTTGAAGAAATACAACATAAAGATCATGCTCAAGCAAAAGTTTCTATCAATCTAACAAGAATCTTTAACATTGACTATATCTGAATTTGAAATTTTCTCATCTGTATTGCATGGTTGTTTGGCCATGGCCGTAGATCTTTCATGGCCGAATGTGTGCTTGATTCATAAGCCGAGTGTGAGGAGGGTCATTGTGCTACCACCTCCACATTCTGATTCTCGGCCAATCAAATGTAAATTTCATAAAGCAGATCACTTATATTGAGAACACTAAAGTTACAAAAATGTGATATGTAATATTTCCGAAGCATTGCGATTCGGCTGCTAAGTTCAAGGAAGTGTCAAAGACTGAACAATGGATTAAATTGCATTTAAGGCAATCTATTGATTGTGACTATCACACATTCGACTAGCCAATAAGATTCATTTTTTTTTCTCGTCCGTTTTATTCAGTGACCTTGCTCTATGAGTTACAGCATTATCTAGACAATTGATTGGAACACCATAAACGTTCATTCATTGCTTCTGAATGTTCGTATAAATGCAAACAGACTAGTCTCATTTGTACGTATTGACCGCTTGTAAACTCTTCACATAAGACGTACATATTCATAATGGTACAAAGTCGTGCTACTGCTTCAGCGAAAGAGAAATTGCAGACGAACAAAGTAGCAAAAAAGAATCTCAAAAAGAGATCCTCTTCAGGTAACAGTCACTTGCGCTAACCGTTTTGGTTTTTTACTAAAATGTTGATACATTCAGAATTCTTCTGATATTTACGTTACTCTTGATTCCAAATAAGATTCAACTAGACATCGAACTTATCTGTTTAGGTCGTGTTAACCAACAGCATGCAAAACTAGTGAGCATTCTGTGTGAAAATTCGCATTTTTGTCGACTCATCTGTCATTTAAATAATAAAAATAATAAAAATTCTCTTTCAAAGGCACTTGCAGACGCATCAAGTCGTATAATTGATGAACATGCACACCGTCGTCGTCGTCGTTACGTATTCTCGCAATCGCAGTTGGCACATTTGGAGACTGAATTTGGTTACAATCATTTTATACCTACGATGAGACTACAACAGCTTGCTTACGAGTTATCAATCGACAAGCTGACTTTGCGCAGTTGGTTCTCACGAAGAAGACATCGCGAGAGAAGAAATCGGCAAATTCAACCTGTTCCACCTGTAATGAATTATTTTGGGGCACCTTATCCATTTCAAGCAATTGCTGATTGAAGATATTTTTGTTTATGCTTAATTTTTCTGTATGAGCAATATTGTAGAGTTCATTCAATGATATTTAGGTAGATTTAGAAAAGTAAATGCGACATTTTTTGTTGTGATATTAGACTTAAAAGACATTTAGATTGTAGTGCAAAAAAAGATCATTTATATTTATCTTGAATCAATAAAACATTCTAAGACAAAACAATTTTGATGCACTTTTTAAGCAGCATGGGTGGAAATCTTTCTCCCCGAGAAAAAATAAACCTAACGAATCAACATGCACACATTCTCTGTTATAATATCAAACACCGAAAAACACAATTTCAATATTTTCTATCAATTGATTCTGCTGGGAGAAGTATTTGTTTGTTAGCAGTAACAGCATTGAATGAATATACAAGTATAATAGGAAACCTGTTTACATGACAGAATATCACAAATTATCTAATGTCAAAATTGTCTTTCGTTTCTCTCAATGGTTGTCTTAATTCACCAATGAAAATAATTGCGCAAGCCTTTCTCGAATGCATTAAAAAAAAGACATCTTAATTTTTTTTCCAATTATAAAAATTCAAGATATAAGTCTTTTGAAGAAGCGAAGTTAAAAAGCTCACAGTTTGATATTTACATCGCTTGCAACGACTTCAGTATTAATCGATAGTATGGAACGTTTATATTAATATTATTTTTTTACTAAATCACATGCTTTTCTGAATCGATGCAGCGGCTAATGTATATTTCCAGTGCGTATTTTTTTCTCATGAAAAATAAATATAAAATTAGATATTCGTTTTTTCACAGGTGGAAGATCTCGGCTGTTACGAGTTATTGCCGTTAATTATAAATTATTATTTGTCAAGGAAAAATTAATTAATAATTTAATATTAAAACGGTCTATAACTACTGAAAATAATAGCCCGGAAAAAATTAATGCAAGCAGTGTTCATGCGAACCATCTTCATGAAACATCGGCACTTCAAAAAGAAGTGTGTGTATCAGACGATCACAAAGGTAAACAATCATCAGAAAGTTTTCCAAGCAATACAACAATAGCATGCAATCAAAATGTTTGGTAAGTTAAGCTATAACACGTACCTCACTAATAAATATTTCCTGTAATTTATAATAAAATTATTCAAAACTAACTTTTAGGTCACCTCAAAGTCCACATATCAGGCATAGTTCTCCTCTTACTCATGATAATTCAATAACATCCATTGCAACACCTCTGAAGCATAATAAAAATCTTTCTGAAACGGAAGTCTATACTACACCAAGTGAATTGAACACCACTAATCCATTAAAAAAAACTCACTCTTCACAATCAAAACTAATATCTGTAAAATTAGCTGAAGCAGCTGCAACTTCAGCCTTTAAGCAATATGCACCGAGTACACCCTTAACATTATCAACTACTGAAACTGTTTTTGCACCGAAAATTTCTTCCACTGAAACTTATTCAAAATCATCTTCATTAAGTACAGATTTCGATTCATCTATATCATTATCGTCAGCAACCAAGAAAATAAAATATGAAACGAAAAATCAATCAGAAGTATCCGGTGGGCAAGATACATCAGGAGAAATCAAAATCCGTCCAACAGAAAATTCATTTGATAAACAAGTTGAAAACGATACGAGGCAGGCCAAATCATTTTTTTTCTTTTCCCATTCAATTGAAATTTTTAAAACAGTTCTTACTTTTCCTTTTCAACACTAACAAAGGCTTATTTTTATATATTTAAACATAGTTGATAAAAAATCAATATAATTTTAGTGATAATTCCAGTAAAATTCCTATTCAAAGCGAAAGCGATATACGCAATGATATATTACGCGAATCTCTTATTTATGTCCATGAAAAAGGATGGACTATGGAAGCCATTCGAGCTGGTTTGTAATAATTTTATTTATATAGATTTTTATTACGACAGTTTCCTATTGATACAGGTATAAAGAAATGCAATCAACCGGAAACGGCAGAAGGTTTATTTTATAATAGTTATGATCTTGTTGATCATTTTATGCGGGACTCAAATGCGAAAATGACAGCTTACATGAATGATATGGCTAATAAGTAATAGGATGAAATTATCACGGTTAATATTATTCGCTATTTTTATTTTTAATAGAGAAGATATTGATGGAAATCGTTTACTTCTTGAAGGATTAAAATATCGGTTGAAACTTGTGATTCCCTATGCTGATACTTGGGAACAGGTATGATTATCTTTTTATGATTCTCAAATATCTTAATTTTTGTGTAACTCCTAATTATTCTCTGAACATAGAATGTTTTTATTTTCCATTGCGTTGTGCTTAATGATAAATCCTTTGTAATGTGTGCTAAGAAGAAGATTGAATTTTCACTCGTGCAACATTTGCCCTTCGACATTTAGAAGATTGATAATAGCGACGAAGGATGATGATAAAATAAAGGTGTGATTGATGTCTACAGGCGGTGCCAGTTTACTTTTAATTGATTTTCTCGATTGTAAGAAATTCTAGCACAATATGGATAAAGAGAGAATACTACGAAATTAATCATATGAGAAAGCTATGAATCATATTTCGTATCTTTATTTTGTATACACTTTATAATAATCAATATAATATAATTAATTAGAATGTGAGAAATCCATTGAACTTTCGAATGGCGAATTTTAGCGGGGAACAAAAACTTCCAAACAATTGTTAGCTAAGATCAGAATATTTTGTTTTTTTCCAAAAATATTTTTGAAAACTTACAAATCAGATACGATCGGAGAACTACCAGTAATTCGTTTAAAAAAAATACCCAATGTAGTATAGTCAATTTTGTAGAGTAAACTTTGCCCCCTAGAGACTACTATTGTTTGTTTTTTCAAAATAGTGATTTCTATAGGAAACCCAAGAGATACAATTTGAACAAATATGAATTCGATTTTTGTTTTGTTAATAGGCATTAGCTCAAAAGGGTTTACCACCAAATGCAAAACGTGCGTGGAAAAGTTTATTAGATTTGGCCAATAATGCTTGGTTTAGTATTGGCGATACCGCCACTGATGTAAGTAATAACAGCGATTTATATATATATTATATTTCTGCTCTTTTTTACTTGAATAGATGAAATGGTATACAAAGCGAATCTCAATCGCTACGATATATCGTAGTGCAGAAATTTATATGCTTCGCGATCAATCGCCGGATAAAATCGAGTCAATGAATTTTTTAGAACGGCATCTAGGTGATTTTGAAACGATGAGTACCGTTCGACGCTCGGTAAAACAAAGAAGATTCTTATTTGTCATGTTCACATGTCATTAAAAAAAATCAATATCATTTTAGGTGTCACAGTCCATGTCGGATACAGTACAAGTTGCCAGTGGCTTGTTAACGGTGGTATGAAAAAACTAGAAGATTTCTTTTAGTATACTTAATTTTTGTTTTTCATTTAGGTTCGCACTATGACAAATCGTCATAAATGAACTCTTTTCCTGTTCTAGTTTTGTGAATACGATTTTATAGCTTATAATTTCGTTATATATGAATGTTATTTTTTAGTGTGAAATAGTGCCTTTGCTTTTTTTTCTTTTGAAATAACACGATGATAATACAAAAAACAGAAAACAAAACAATAACAGAATAACCAACAACTATGACGAACCATCGTCGTCACTTTCATTATCATCTCCGTTCGTATGACCATTTTCATCGAAATTCATCTAAAATAATCATTCAAAACAAAAATAATAAGTTTTATTAATTGATATAAACAAGAAAAGTTTACTTACGTCATTATCACTTTCGTTTATTTCTTCTTCATCATCGTCATCATCATGTATACCAAGATCAAGGTCATCAGATAAACCTGAATATTCATCATATTCTGATGGACTAGGGACTAGTTCATCTTGTGTTTGATCACCGTCTATATCTTCATCGGATACATCTTCAAACACAAATGATGGTTTTGTTGAAATAGTTGCATCACTATTGGATAATTCGCTATTACGATTATTGATCTAAATGTGTGAAAAATAGCATAGAAATTTATAGCTTTCAGTGACCAATCATATGACATATCTAACAGCTTTACATCTTAAAAAACATTCAGATGTCAACAATAGAATATAGTATCTTCATACAAAAGTTAAATATTCTACTAGAAAATTCAAATTTATTTTCAATTCGATTATTCTTCTAGGAATCTAACAATGCAATAAGTGCATATTTAATGATGAAGCACTTTTTATTCTTATCCTTTGGATATGGTTCACTTATTTTCCCTTTCAAGTATATACATCGATAAAACGCTCTCATCATTGCCATTTGACAGTACGACATGAGCGCATTGAGAATATCTATGCATAAAGAATCCTATCGTTTATCACCATACTAAATTTATTTGCGTTCCTAACGAAAAAAAACCTTCGCAATTATAGATAACAGGATTTTAATATTGTTACGGATTTCTTAATTTACCTGTGAAGAAATAAGTGATAATTTCCCATGAAGTCTTGCTAATTTTGGATAAAGTCTTGTACGTGCTTCAATTAATTCATACATTGGACCAAGACGTTCTGTTATATCCGGACACTGAAAAAAACAAATAATCGATAATAAAAAGAAATGAACTATAAAAATCTATACTAACTGTCATGAGATATGATGTATGAGTACTTAATACAGCTCGTAACCATTTCGATGCAATAAGACCTCTGAAATACAAATATATATTTATTTGTTTTGCAGGAGAAAAATAAATTAAAAAAAAAAGATCTTACTTGTCTGCACTTTGATAAAGGTATTTATTTAAACAATCGATCAACGGTAGAAGAACGGGAATGGCAAGTGCACGTACTGTTTTTTCAATTATTTTTTCATTGCGACAACATAATACTTGCTAAACAAAAAGATGCAACGTGAGATAAACACAGGTATAGAAACAAAGAAAAATATTTCTAATATTTATTCTCTCCTTTTTTTATATCTACCTTTATTCCTCCCTATCGAAATACTTCAATAAAAAAATATTGGAGTAACCAATCAAGCGTGTAACTATATGTATGAGCATGTGAAATCATTTCTAAGTAGCAGATAAATTATACAACAATAACGGGGGAAAATCAAGCAATAGACAAAAAGTTATCTCGAGATTATAGATTTCTATAAAGCAAACGAAATTTATGGGTCAATCACAAACTTCGAAATTCGATACATTATTCACATTAATATGTACAGATAATACAGAAGAATTAACCCGACGATTACGCTCCTGTTCATCACCGGAACAAACGAAATGTCTATCGAATTTATCCGATGCTGATAAAGCAGTAACATTATTAATGTATGCGGCTTTTTATGGCAATATGACTACTTGTCGATTACTATTTGAATCAGGTGCACAACTATTAAGTCGAGATCACGAAGGACATAATGTTCTTTTCTATGCTATGGCTGGTCAAGCTTATAATGTTGCTAAATATTTAATTGAAACAGCAAATACACAATTCGATGATGAAACTCGAAAAGAATTTATTAATAATTTAGATAATACTGGTGAAACTTGTTTGCATGAAGCTGTTAAAATACATGCAATTTCTTGTACTGAATTGCTTATAAAACATGATATTGATATCAACATTGCTAATAGAAATGGTCATACTGCTCTTCATCGTGCTGTTGATCTCGGTAAGTCAGAATTTCAAATAAAAACGCATGCAGAAAAATTTTCTTGTTTTCAAAAGGTCTCTCAGATATCGTTCGTCTATTAATTAAATATAAAGCTGAATTAAATACAAAAGATTTATCTGGTTGGACGCCTCTTCATGTCGCATGTGCTCATAATGATATTGATCTTGTGCGTTTACTTATTAGTCGTGGTGCACGTCTTAATGTAACTGATAATCGTGGTTGTTCACTACTCGAATGGGTACATGAAAAAGGTTCACGAGAAATATTTGAATATCTTAAAAGTCATAGTGGAAAAGAAGTCAACCCAACAACAAGAAATCGACGAACAAGTGAACGCTTGCAAAAAACTAAGAAAGATATACCGAAATCTTACTCATCACCAACACCAATGTCTAAATCGCTTCCAAATGGCACAGATACATTTTTGAATTAAAATCAGACTAAATTTATTTCAAACATGTTTCTTTTTATCATCTTGTACATTGTTTCATACAATAATTATCCAAGCAATCATTCATAGAGAACGTTCATGTCAGTTTCAGTCACCCATTTTCTTAGTCGTGAATGTTCTCTATGAATGATTATTACGAGCCATAGATGAAAATTATTGATCATTGTTTTCGTTGTTCTATTGAAAGTTTTTCAAAGAAATAATTTACTTACATCAAGTAGAGCGGCATCCGAACTTTGTAATCCTTGTGTAAGTAATGTTACAAGACTATCGGCTGATAGGCTTTGTTGTTTTTGTTCTGAATTAAAGGGACCAGTTGATGTTTGACTTTCAAACGCACTTAAACGTTCAGATAAAGGCACCTAAACAAGACGCTCTCAAATTAAAGTTTTTCGTAGAAATATAACAAACTTCATTTTGAATAATTTCTGTTGCACGTCGTTTTTTATTATTAGTATTCATTGTATTCGATGTTTGAGTTAATACAACGGCATCATTCGATTTAACAGCATTTTTTGTCTTGAAAAATAAAACTATTAAAAAGAAATAAATTCGAAAAGAAAATTTAACCTTTGTCATTTGCTGTTCACTACCAACAACAACGGTTACGGATCCAGATGAACGTTTTGGATCATCGCGTTTTGATTTACGACCTGTTGAATTAGTAGATGTCATATTGATCTATACGAAATTAATCTTAAAAATATAGCAGAATAACATGTCTATTTATTATATAAAAATAAAATTCACTAAGAACCAACTAAATTAGTCTCTTCGTATTAAACAGAAACGAGACATGTGTGTATGTATAGTACTATGCTATGCTATTAACAGTTATCTACTTTACCACTTGTATGGAGATAGAGAACAGCCAATCCTATAACATTCATATAGAGGACACACATGATGAGAATAAAAGCAATCAATATGAAACGCGTTTTTGTTATTGAGAAATTAGTCTATCAACTAATCAGTGTCATGAAACGGGAATTTATTAATACACTTAAAATAAACATTGATTTTAAAAATCGGATATAAATAGTACGAGAAAAGAAAATATCTTATTGATATTGAATTTTTCGATCAATGAAAATTAGAGAAGTGATATCGTATCGTATCGTCTATTTATTTATTTATGTGCTCTGTACTCGTGTAAGATTGGTTGTATACGCGTTAGAATGTCGCTGTAGTATATTATTATCCTTTAGCTGAAATAAATATCCTGTATTGGGTATGTTTAATATATATTATTAATATCAGTATTAATTTTTCCTAATGTTTTCACATCAATGGAAAAAAATATGATTTTTCATCAAATCTGTATTGTTTAACAATATATCATCACGCTGATTGATAGTCGGATAATCTTAAAATTTCTTGATCGACAATAATAAATTCTTTTTTCGTTCGTCAGAACAATGACATTAAAAATCTTGATCTAACAGTTTCAATAATTATTTCAATACATAGCAAGAAAACACGCAGGCGTAGAAAATTAAATCAAGGTAATTGTTTTGAAAACTTTCAAACTTTAGACGGGTCTTTTCGTCGTAACATCGTATTTAATCACTTCTTGCTCATGAGTTTTATGTTTGATGGCGATTAAACCGACATTTTTTTCTACATCTCAATCTATGTCAAATTTGAGAACGATCTTTCACGCGTATGACGATCGTTTTGTTTTGCTTCAGATTATCATTAAACAATCATCGTGGCTTTTAATAGANTAAATGTTTTTTTTAATAAATTTTACCTCTGCTGTGGAAACCGGAATTGAGTTTCGAAGTCTGATGCAGTTTAGTAGCCCATAGTCCCCTCCACTACATACTGTCAAGATAGTTAGATACTCTCTTATTTCTAAATTATATGATAAGTAACATTAATGAGTTACATGATTTCTTTTAATATTTAATTTCATATCGGAACTAGATATGTTAATAAATATGGTCACTTTATCCAGTCTCAATTACTATCTTGCATAGCGTATCTCCTTGTCCAATTTCTCGCTGCTTCGTTATAATTTCTCTGATCGGTTCGATAGAGCTTTAGTGCGTCTTTATTAAGTCCATGATCTGGATTTGGATCTGCCAACAGCGAACATAGTGATATCAGAAGCGCACGTACAGATAATGCTGGAGACCATTGTGAGTGAAGTATATCCAAACAGATCTCACCGTTCTCACTTATATTTGGGTGGAAAATTGATGTGATAAAACGGATTATAGGTGGCTTGTACGGAAATTCGGTGGGAAAGTCAATAGTCAAGCGGAATTTGCCATCAGCATAAGGTGTGTTTTCTGGTCCTTCGACCCAACCAATCCAATGCAACATATTTTTAGTAGGGTCTTCAGGTTCCGCAAAACATAATGGCGGTGGATCTTTTTGTATCTCATGATAATGAAGAACAAGACGTCTATTAAAAGCCACGATGATTGTTTAATGATAATCTGAAGCAAAACAAAAAAAAGTGAAGTGATCTGTTACTTATAATAAAATATCAGATGGTAAAACAGAAGTATCTGTTCGGTTACGAACAAGTTTAGACGCATTTAGTCCGTACATGCGAAGTTTTTTATCGTTACTATACGTAGCAACGTTGCAGTCGCTAACATGGAAATAGAATGCAGTCGAATGATTATTAATTACTTCATCTTTACTCATACAACGGCAACGCACACTGAGTCATATTTTCGACGGAAAGTCATAAACGGAAGAAGCGACAAATCAGTACATCTCCATTATTAACACAAATAATAATTGCGAAATAAACGTTTTTCCCCAGAAACTTCTCACGTTTCAGAGCGAGACCATTTTTTGTTTCTATATGAATAATAAGCGTTGAATAATACTTTGTGTAAATTATGAAAGTAAATTGCTCGTGGAATTAATTCTTACCTTTTTTTCAACAGTAACAATTGTCTCTGTTGTATTTATGGCAAATGCATGCATCTTAAATATTGATTTCTTCGACAAAAAAAAGCACTTAGCTGAAATTCTCCAATGACTCCACCCAATAGGAATAGTACACGTGGAGGAAGACGCTGTATGTTTTTTTTACCAACTTGGAAGGTTGCTGCCTTTCACAAGAAAGGGAAAAAAGAACGAAAACTTTTTTTCTCATGAGTATTGCGTCATTTCGTTTTGTCTCTCTACGGTTATTCAAAAATAGCAACAAATCAGTCTTTATCTTCACTGTATATGATAAGGATCTGGGTATTCTTGTAAGTGGTGAGGGGACTATGGGCTACTAAACTGCATCAGACTTCGAAACTCAATTCCGGTTTCCACAGCAGAGGTAAAATTTATTAAAAAAAACATTTATTGTTTGCTCATACTACGGATTGAGCGAGCTAAAAGGTAACAATCTTGATTTAAAATTGCTTATATCTTTAATTAATAAGCTTTATAACATTGAAAATTGTCTCATATAAATTGAAGTTGTCAAAATAATGAGATTAGAATTGGTAATTTATTCAAGTAGTTGTATAATAAACATGTAAATGTATAGAAAAAATATTCTATAATACTTCAAATCTGAGGTACATAAAAAGTTTAATTTATCATCAGTTGGTTTTGAAAGCATCATGGCTTCAACAGCTTGCAGGATCCACGAAAAAGTTAGTTTTAATCGTACATTATGACAATGCACTCGTCATATACTTGATTATTCAGTATTTATATTACCAAAGTAACTTCGTTGCCCGATGTAACTTCGATACGAGAACTACATCGGCTGGTATCGACAACTTAAATCCAATATGAGATGAGATAATAAAGAATTTTAAACGATCAAGCTTATATGCGTAGTAAGAAACTGGTATTTGGATGGTCAATACATAGGAGATGACTTCTGGTGATATTCCAAAAGATTATTATGCAATAAATCTCTAGTGAGTTTTGGTCGACCGTATACTTGACTTAAGAATCACAATGAAGATTTTTCGGTCACTGTCGTCAGGAAGGGTTATGAGTGACTATCGAAAACTTTACTTGAAACTGTCACTAAATCAGTCGTTAGAATAATAGATTTACTTAGGCCAAGAAAATATTGACAAATAATAAGATCCATCTCTGAATTTTAAAAGAGTAGACCCAGTATAGAAAGTGGGAAACGGCTATCTTCCATTAGATAACTAAAAAATTACATTTATCCGGATATTTTTCGACTAAAATGCTGTTTTCTCAATTACAATATCATTTTAACAGTTGAAATTTTAACTACAGTTTTACGAAAAGATTTCTAATACTTTAAATTATCGACTACTAAACAATTTGTTCAGGTTTACTGTTGAATTGACTTAAGTAGCTAAAATTTAATATATCAGGACAAATAATGACACACTAGTCTAACATTTTGGACGATCTGGTGGGAGTACTGGAATTAAAATGATGAATATTTTGCATACGTCGATAGTGGAAGGCCTGAGCAATAAAATACTTCTAAAAAGCGTCTTCTGTACAATAAAATTGAAGGCACAGAGAATTGATCTTTTTCAGTAGGAGTCTTTAAAATTCAGTAATTTCTTATCTGTTTCGTATTCAAGCATCCTCAAGATAATAGTCTACAGGTAAGTCGGTAATCAAATAAACAGTAATTTTTAAACGAAACTGTTAGAACCCATCAATGTGAAAGAGAGATATCTATATTTTAATATTGCAAACGTGATAGTACAATACGACCACCATTCACCAATATATGCCAAAACATATACTTGTTTTTCGAAACGGGAATCGGGATAACCAGTTCATTTTTTCAAACATCATAAAACTGCATAAATATCTAATGCACATATATTTAAATAATTTATACAAACCCATTATAATAAATATTTATCAGCTATTGGCCAACTTTTGAAGCTTAACAGAAATATCACGCCCATATTGACATAACTATCATCTCGATTTTCAATTCAGTATAATTTCGCTCAAAACTTTTATTGAAAACACGTAAGCTTCACTGGCAAACAGATACATCTCAGTAGGCAAAGATCACCGACGAATACACAAAACGATAAATTTTAATGACAAAATGATTGCATTCAGGATAAAGCTCGATCAGCGTTATAACACTACCAGTTTTCAGGAACCATACTTATCGGTGACATTGATATGAATTCTTGAGTGTGCCCTTAATCGTCTAGAAATATTTCATATCTTCTCTTTCTACTGCTCCAAATTCGGGCCGGAACGATAAGCGTGATGGAACTCTGCACGGAACGAGAAAGAAAGATAAAAATATTTTCAGTATTGTCTTGTACCTGGACTTTTTGTAAGGCATTATAAATTTGTTTCGTCACTTCGGATCCTAATTGTTCCTCTTCAATATTGATGCTGATTAATGTCTATGAAGAATTTCAGACAGCTTCTAAATTGAGATCGACAAAAAGCGGTACATTACCGTGTTGTGTCTGAGACCATCTACGATATGTTGCGCCCCTTCTTCTCCGATCTCAGTTTGAGCAAGGTCAAGTGATGTCAGTGTCTCCGAGAGGAGTTGAGAGATTGTAGATCTAGGTGGGCGAAAATGATACATTACCGTGTTGTGCTTGAGAGCATTCGCGATATGCTTCGCTCCTTCGTCTCCTATCTTATTACAAGTAAGCTCGAGTGATGTCAGTGTCGGCGAGAGATACCGACAGATTGTAAATCGACATGGACAATAAGCGATATATTACTGTGTTGCGGCTGAGAGCATTCATGAAATGTTGTGCTCCCTCGGCTCCTATCTTATTCCAAGAAAGGTCGAGCGATATCAGTGTCTGTGAAAGAAACCAAGAGATTGTAGATCTAGCAGGGCAAAAACGATACATTACCGTGTTGCGCATGAGACCCTTCGCGATGTGTTGCGCTCCTTCTTCTCTGATCTCATTTTGAGAAAGGCCGAGTGATGTCAGTGTCTGCGAGAGATGCCAAGAGATTGTAGATCTGGATGGCCAAAAACGATACGTTACCGTGTTGTGTTTGAGAGCATTCCCGATATGCTTCGCTCCTCCGTCTCTTATCCTATTCCAAGTAAGATCGAGCGATGTCAGTATCTGCGAGAGATACCGACAGATTGGAGATCGACATGGACAAAAAGCGGTACATTACTGTATTGTGCATGAGAGCATTCGCGATATGCTTCACTCCTTCGTCTTTTATTTTATTTCGAAGAAGGTCGAGCAATGTCAGTGTCTATGAGAGAAACCGAGAGATTGTAGATCGACATATGCAAAAAGCGGTACATTACCGTGTTGTGCTTGCGAGCATTCGCAATATGCTTCGCTCCTTCGTCTGTTATCTTATTTCGATGAAGATCGAGCAATGCCAGGGTCTATGAGAGAAACCGAGAGATTGTAGATCGACATGTGGAAAAGGCGGTACATTACCGTGTTGTGGATGAGACCATTCGCGATGTGTTGCACTTCCTCATCTGCTATCATACGGCAAGACGGACTACAAGGGAATTGGATGCTTGTTTGTGTCTGCGAGGAGAAAGGGGCTAGTCAGATGTTTAAAAATAGTATTGTTCAAATAATTAATCATTTGTCGGGCCTTTGATTACGCGTCTTTTTATGACTTATGTGTTTTATGGAAAAGTGCTCTGTTTAGTTGCCTCTATTTCTCCTGGGTATGTGATACAATATGCAGAGATTGAGTCATTATCGGTTATCAGGTGTTCTTGCGGTATTTTGGAAAGCGATGTATTAGCTGAATTTCACTTTCTGTCCGGAGCTAATTACATCAATAGATGTGAATTCAAAATTTCTTGTTCTCTATTGTATGGAATGGTCTATAGGTTTGTGTTTCCTAGATACTAGGATACATTGATAGTTTAACGAACTGTTATCAGATTGATTGATATTAATAGACTGGCCGGTAGCCGTTTCCATCTGTGCCAGCTAGCAGGGACAAGTGTTCAGATGGTATTTTGAATATGGATTCAAAATTATGAACTGTGTAACAAGTATAGCGATAAAAGAAAATCGCTACGTTGCTGATCGAATATTGGGTTTTACTGGTTCGTGTGTAGTTAGTTTCTTCGAAGTTTTTTGTTTTGTTTCTATGATGTTCTTGTATGACTTGATTAACTACATCGCTTGTGTTTGCGCACCTAACAAGGTAATTCGCAGTCGGTTCTGGTGCCTTACGCGCTTTTCATAAAAGTAAACTTGCTGCATTCATACATTCCGCGGAGCTTGTAGAGATTAGCTTGGTGTAGTATGCGAAAACGAACATATGATGGGGAATTTGAATTTGCGGCAAAATCGATTTCATTAAAATCATCTCTATTTGTGACAAAATAAAAACTGTACTAGTATACCGCTATACTATACGATGGGGTACCTAGTGAGGGTGTGGGGAAGGGTACCTAGTGAGGGTGCGGGGGGTGGGGTACCTAGTGAGGGTGCGGGGGTGGTGCCTTCTCCCCCTTGCCGCTTTGTCTCTGTAAGGGATATGTAGCATCTAGCTACCGCTATACCGCACTGCCGCTATACCGCAATGCCACTATACCGCAATACCGCAATACCGCAATACCACAATTGTTATTGCGGTATTGCGGTATAAGCATTTTGATTTTGCCGCAAAATCAAATTCCCCACCAACTCAAAACGAATACTAAAGGCATGCAACGAATAGTGACGTGCACGTTTTTTATGTAGTTTCTCAGTTGAATATGCACTGTGTTCAACGAAGGACCTCCTCTGATGTAACTTTCCTGTTTGATGCATTTCAGACTATAGAAATAAAATAACCATCTTATGAGAATCAGATAACTATTTGGATTCCCATTCAGGTTCGATTAAGCTATTAATTATTTTATACATATATTTTTCGAGAAGCTCCAAAAGAATTGAATGACCTAGTTATAGATTTTTAGAACTTGCTCGCTGATATGTTTTTACTGTAATCGATTGCACATCAAATAATTAGGACTTTTAATAAACGTATTTTTTAGACAGAGAACTTTCAAATAGTGCACGATGTGTAAACTCTCTATGGTGAAGAAACTTTGATTGAATCTTCTAAATCTTTTAATGAAATCGAGCTCAGTTAATACCTATAAATTAGAAAAGTTACAGGTGGAAATACGACCATTCAATTTACCGCGCGTCTGGGGTACTCTATGGGCCTTTTGAAGGCACAATCTGTTCAAAATTCAATAGCTTGCTCCAATCGCAATAGGTGCCTACAACATTCAGGTTTTCATTAATGCAATATTTAGGATCTATAAAACAAAATGCATTAATTTCGGAAAGTAGCACAGAGAAAAATTTCCTCATAAGCGTAAACTTGATTGGCGAAAACGCTTGTCTAGTTTACAATGATAATTTCATTCGTCTTGTGTCTCGTCACTTCAGTGATGTAAAAGGTTATTTGAGCGTTGCTTATTGTAGCCTCAATGAGACTATATTATAAATTTTGTTTGTGCAACTAGACTGTTGAACTAAGGAACATTTTAGCGCTAACGGATCGTTCCATCAATCAACTTAGTCAACTTTCATCAGCAAGCCACGTATTTATTTTGAATAGCATTGCTTTCTATACGAAGCATTCTATCCACTCTATATGAAGTTTACTCTTGAACGCAGATTTTATCACATCCTCAACGTTATTTCAACTCATGCAATCGTAAAATGATCTATTGCAGTAATTGGAATGGCGATTGGTTCAACATAGTACTGGCTTGAAAATCAGAAAAATCTGATTTCATGATTAAAAGAGTGATCTTACCGCATATCGATGATAGGTATCCATGATTGTATTCAATCGTACAGATACATTATGAACTGAACATAAAAGTGTGAAAAAATCAAGATTATCCAACACACGATAGATAATCTCAATAGGTAATTCCAAAAACGACGAAATAATTTTGGCAGGCATTATTATTGTTACTTTTTGAATAGTAGATGTTGTTAGAAAATAAATGTCTTTTGAAATTTTCTTATCTTTACTTATCTGTTTGTTGACAATGACTCATCAGCTTATATCGTGGTTAGGCAGTTCTTTTATTACCTACAAACGCATGGAAGTATGCAAATCAAACAAATCTATAACAAACCCAATGCGTCAATTTTATTATTAACATGCCACATGTTTCTAAATAGATACTATGAGAGACTTTAAAGTGTGTTTTGTAGATTATTTCTAATCGTTTTCATTTCTCTTAAAAGCCATATCTATATTTAGGCATCGTTATATTTTTCATTTCATTTTTTTATTTCAAGATCATAGAAGAGGATGCAAAAAAAACTCAATATAATCATTCTGTTGTTACACAGAGTATAGATTTTCAATTATATCATTGTTACATAAGAGTGCTTGTCTTTGGTTTGCTGGAGATTAATTTTATTTATTGTAAAATATTTCAAATAGAAGAATATGTCATGCAGTCAGATCTATCTTATTTTGAAAGAGAAGCCTTTCGTTTTTCAACAGTCCAAATATAGCAAAGCGAAACTTATATGAATTATTCTTTCATGTTTGCTAGCAACCGATTGGGCGAAACAAAAAACAGGAGAACAAACACAAGCTACTAAAACATTTTCGGGTTATAAGTTTTAGAAAACATAGAAAGCGGCATATTGTTTACTTCTGCGATTTTTACGTTTTGAATCAGTATGAATGCCTTGAGCATTATTAGGTTGTGGGTATATATGTGGGAACTCCATTGATCCGCACACCCACATCCTCAAGAAGATTAAAATCAAGTAATCCTAATCTCTTCTCTACAGCTGATAGATACAGTTCTGTTCTGTTGAATAGACTCTATTGTGATTACATTTATTCTATTTCAGGATTGAAACAAAATTCAGTCTTCAATTAGAGCTTAATTGAATAATTTCACAGTTGCTGTCCCTTTACCTAAGTTGACATCAAGAAAAGTCTTCATAATTGATTGGAAAAAAATGAAAATATTACTTGGTACTTTATTTCCGCTTTGGTATAAAAAAGCGAAATTCTAAGTCAATTAGAACTACAATTAGTAATATCATATTTTAAAATTCAGCATGATAATATTCAATTTAATCAACGACAATGGACCTTCATAGGAAACTTTTACAACAAAGAAAGTCTTTCTAAAAAATTTTCAAAAGGTATCATTATTGCAATAAGATCCTTAGCGTTGCGCAGGCGACGCTTTGTTAAACTTATAGTTTACTCCGCAGTTTCAGGTAAGCTTAATCTGTATGGCTCTACTCTAAACTTATTGATTACCAGTGAAAAATAGGCAGCGCATGTAATATGCATGTTGACATTCATCAACATCTGAAAACGAAAAATTTAGAAACAATAAATTCCATTATCAACGGAAGTCGTCATCTTAGATAGTACTTGCCGATTACCGAGTCGAGAAATCACTTTCTATCATAACATTATACAAAACCAACAAACAATTCGTATTTCACTGTAGTCCATTTGCCTGTTATCTACGTGTAAATGCAATTTCGTCAACTGCCGAGTGTATTATTTGAAAGAAAATTACAGGTACCATTTGAATAATCAATTTCGAAATGTGCACTATGATTCATTACTTCCGTTGGCATATGATTTCTATAGTGAGATCTTATGCTAACAACTTCTCACTAAAGGGCTTCGTAAATGATTAAAAAAAACGTTCGAAGTATTGTAAATCTTTAAATTATTCAACTTTCAACACATGAATAAATAATTTTTACGAATTTAACTTATTGGAAAATCCAAGATTGACTATCTGCCACTTCAGTTTGTCTAATCAATAAATTTCGAAAGAGTAATGAAGACCATTGAACCTATGGTGAAACATTTTCGTGGTAATTTTATTCATTTGTAAAACAAAAATAAAATTAAGACTTGAATCTTGTTTTTTCAAGCACCTTATTTTTCATTAATATCACAAAGGCTATTGTTTTCATCATTTTGATTGTCCAACATTGGCGGAAAATCAATATTGACTGCCTATAAAATAAAAACTTTCGATGATTATTTTTCTCAGAACAAACGCCCATTGAATTACGTACAAGAACATCTAATTCAAGAATATCAACAAAACAATCAAGTATCATTGTTAAATTTGGTTTTGTTCGAGCGAAATCACCATGAACAAATTCTTTTACGTAAGCACCAGCTTGAGTAGTTAAACGTAAACGAAAATGATACGGATCAATAACAGTTGCTACCAGATCAGATATAGAACGTTGACGTGTCATTAATGTTCGTCTATTAAATTCCAAGAAAATTTGAATGAAAACAAGAGAAAATGTTTTTGATTTACCTATGTAAAACTCTTATTGGAGTTTTTTGTTCGATAACTAGTGGGTTAGGAACAGATGCAAGTATTTGATCAAGTTCAGCTTGATCAATTTGCCTGTCCGTATAGCATAAAGCTTCATAGCATTTTGTTTTTTCTTCTTCACCTTCCTTTATTTGATTACTTTGTTCTCTATTATAAATAAAAAAACTTGTAAAGTTTTTTTTTCTTCAATAGTTGATTAACATACTTTGTTACTTGCTGTAAATCTCTTACACGAATATCTTTTGTTAGCATATTTATTTCCTGCGAAAGAAAAATATATATTTCGGATATATAGAAAGGAAAAAGAATTTCTACGAACTCGTTGAATGGCAAGAAATTCTTCAGGGTTATACGAAATTCTTGATGGTTGTCGAAATTCAACAACAAATGGTCGGCCTATTAAACAGAAAAACTCAAGAAAATTAAAAAAAAGAACTGATCAATACCAACCAAGACCCAATGTTCGTACATCAACATCTTCACGGCCCGACGATAGAAAAACGTGACCTATTCAAAAATTTCATTTTTGATCCATCAGAAGAAGAAAAATCATTACATTTAGAAGTAACAAGTTTATTTATAGGAAGAGCAATTAATTCTTCAACAGATGTATCAGCTTTACGGACTCCATCGATAATCCATGGAGTTTGAGATAATGTACGAGAATATTTATTATAACGTCCTAATAATAAGATATGCATATATAAGAAAAGTAACGAAAAATAGATTACCAACCAGCTACATAGATTGAATCATGCTGAGCTAATATTGTACATGTTGTTTGTCCATCAATAGCTGGTTTAAAAGTTCTAAATTTTCGATAGAAGAAATTTGTTTAGAATATTTTTTTTGTCTAAATAATTCTACTTGCTTTTCGAAATCGTCAAATGTAATATCATTCAGAACGGAAATAACTGACAGTCTAGTGAAGGCTTCATTAGCATTTGATTTCTAAAATATGAAAAATATTTCCATAGAAAATTTAATGAAATTGAAAGAGAGAAAAAAGCGCAATTCATCTCCATTAGAAATGTCAACTAATTCATAAATATATACATGGAGGGCTATTTTAAATGTCTATTTCATGTTCGATCTCTTAATTGCTACTAGTGAATTAGATGTTGAACGTATTAATCAACAATGTATTTATTTTATGAATGAATCTATACAAAAACATTTTACGATACATTTGACAAAATATTCTGTAGTATTGTTCGTTATGATGAATGTTACTTAGAAGAGTAGATGCCAGACAAGCGATTCATTTCATTATCTGTCTCTGTTCAGAATATTCAATGGAAATATAATATGCAACTTCGCGCACATAGAGAATTTAACTCGATTAGTGTCTACAGTCAAAAACTTTTGAATAAATGTTCTTCGAAACATATTTCAGATATTCAAATCTATACAAAACATCTGATCGGTTTCCTTCGTATATAGGCGAATAATTCAAACATTTAAATATTTCTATTTATCCAATAGACTTATTTGAAGTTTTCTATTTTCAAATGTTCAAATATGCTAATCGTTCAAATTTAACGTCCAATCAATTTTTTAATATGGAAAAAAAATTGCATGAACTTATAAATTATCAAGAAAATATTCTAAATCGTTTAGATGATTCCAAATCGGAAATAGAAAGTAATGATTCTTTAGAACCATCGCATAGATCATCCTGTTGTCTGGTTCCCTCTGAACCAATAAAAATAAAATCTTCTAGTGAACAAAAATTATGGGTAACAGAATCAGAAGAAACGATCGAATCAAGTAGAAATCAACGTTGTCTATGGAATATTGATCATAAAAAAATTACAACAATCGCCATATGTTGCACATTAAAAAGAAATCGGAGAGAAATTAATAACGATATTAGCGAAGCTTTGCATAGATTTAATCAATTTGATTCATCAGAACAAAAATATGCATTTATTCATGTTGGGAAATATATTTATGCTATAGGAGATTGTAAAACACGAATGTATAAATATGATATTATTTCACAGGGAATTCATCAGATCGATGGTCCTTATCCTGGCCGAAGTCAATTTGGTTTAGCAGCAACTATTGATTATATTATTCTTATCGGTGGTTTAACCATTGAGGGAAAATCGATCTCATCAACTATTCTATTTAATTGTAAACAAGAACAATGGTATTCATTACCGAATCTACCACTGAGATATCAGCAAGGTGTATTTTTACCGGCTGTTTGTTTTATTGATCGAAGTGCAATAATTATTGTTGGCGGTTTTATTATGACTAGTGAAGGGCCCATTGCAATGAGAAAATGTTTTCGTTTTAATTTAAATAAAAGAAAATGGCTACCAATAGCATCATGCAATGAAGCGCGAGGACAATCAATACTAACTTATTCTTCCGATAGGATTTATACTATTGGTGGATTACAATATATTTATGATAAATGTAAAATAATCACAAGCAAAAATGTTATTGCTATTGAAGAGTAAGTTATATAACTTCGAGATTCAATTGCATAATAGGTGAACTTATGAAGAAGAAAATCACTTAAAAAGAGACGCTTCTCATCGGATCCATTAGTTATCGAGTATGTTTCAATGGGGACGATTTAAATCTTCGCGAGAACGTGTATATATTTGTAGCAAAAATCCCCGAATGACTCGTATCTATCAAATATTTCTGTATTTCAGATACAATATTCATACAAATCAATGGACTATTATAACAACATTAAGTCAACTTCATTATCAAAAAAATCTCTATTGTACAAGTGATGCTATTCTAATTGGTATTAACAAGAAAAACCATCAATGGTCCTATGATTTAATTAAACGACATCTTACCTGTAATTTAGGATTGTCAGCATAGCGAAATTTTCGTCTAAATATAGAAATATTCATGGTTCCTATGCTCGAATTTCTGTTAGGTAAACTTACAGAAAATTAAGTTCTTCATTTTCTTTATTAAATTCGAACATTATATTAATTTCGAAAGGACTCTAAACGATAAATAGAATTTTAAAAAAGTAATTAATAATTTTTTTTCTCCTGCTAATTACATCAATTTGATAAGGACAACCAAGAGCTGCTTCTAATCGTTCAATCATAATATTACGCCATTGATCTTTAATCATTGGTACATCTTTTTCGTTGCATTCTCCAACAAATTTCGTTAAAAATTTTTGTAAATATGCCTAAAAAATAGTTTTACTCTTATTTTAATGAGCTTTTCTGTTTTATTTACATGTCGAATAAATATATTCAATGGCAATGTAAGATTGCAACAAAATGATTGAAAATCAACTGTTGTTAATTGAGCTACTTGTTTAATCTTTAATTCGAAAAAGAGAATCTATGATTTTAAGAAGAAAAAAAATTCAAATCTTACTTGTTGAACAAATTCATCGGAAGTATAACGGTGTAAAACATCAAGACACAAGAAACAATGTTGAACAGATGAAACATTCAGATTATTATTTATTGTTTGTATTTCGGAATGATTAAGTAAAGTTGATTCAAGTGATATTCTGTCCTATAAAAAGAAGGATTTTTATGAAAAAACGACGCTTAGAAATCGTGGCTAATCAATTGTCTCCAAAAACAATATATTTTTTATCAAATATCTACCTGTTGTTCAATTAATTTGGTCAGCAGACAGCAGTGACTTTTCAATGGACAAACTCGGCATAGCTGATTAATAAACAATCGATAAGCATTTGTTGTTATCATTTCATCTGATGTCATATCTAGAAACAGTTGTCTAGATTTTCAAAAACCCAGAGTTCACTCAATGAAAGTATGAGAAAAAATGGAGAGATTCCAAAAATTGACCATATTGTGTTTTTGGTTTTCGTAGTACTAATCCATATAAATAATCTGAATGATGATTGGAATAGAGGGTTCTTTCGAAATAAAAGTTTTTTTTTATTTAGCTTTATCTTAGAACATGGCAAACTCAAAATTTGAGTTTCGTTGACTCTCAATTTTCTCGAGGTCATCTACTTTGGGAATACGTTATTTGCTGAAAACACTTTTCTCTATTGAAATTATTCTTTAGAATATTTATACCAGTTACCATTACGAATACAAATCGAAATTAATTCAATAGGATCAATTTTTGGAGTCTGTTTATACATTGACAAAGAGAATCAAGTTTATTTTATTACAGCAAAAAAAGTGACACATCATAAACATATAGATATTAATAACGATATTTTGTAGAATAATCTTTTGGTGATATAACCAAACCACGACCTTTACGAGCTCCACGATAAATCGTCTCGACGATATCAATAAACTCTTGTGTGTCTTCTAAAGCCCAACTTATTTTATTGTTGTTACCAGTGCCAAGATCGATCATAATATGTTTATTACGATAGAAAAACATGATCGTGCATGGATCATATAATTCATACCTAAAGCAAAAAGAAATTCTAGAAATCAATATACTAAATACTATCGGCAGGGAGTGGATAGAACTAGTATCATATACGAATTTTTCTCGTTCTAGTCACTGAGCATAAAACCGTTTTCAAAGCCTTCTGTTTGTATTCTTCTATTCTAGATAATTTCCTGTTCTAAACTTCTGCACAGCAACAAAGCAGAGCGATTGAGTCTAAATTTTAATTCAACGACTTATTCGCTTTTCTCCTTAATTCGAACCTACCAGCTGAGGCCAGATTCTTTCGATCGATTTCTATTAGTGTGGTTTTTTTGTCCCATCAAGTGAGAATATTGATTCATTCCATTATGCTGATTTACTAAGTTGCGAATACATTAATTCAAATAAATAACAATATAAAACTTACATTTTATTAAAATCGGGTGTTTCAGTAATATCAACCAAATAAATAACTGTAAAATTTTTGATTTTCTCTGCCACTTTATATAGAACTTCATCCATTTTCATACATGTTGGGTCCCAATCATGTCCAAAACGAATAACAACGACTTTGTCTTCTTCCGATAAAATGGCCTGGTCAACTTGCCAGCCATTATGTAAATGCGGTAACATATACGACATGATGAAGTTTTTATCTGAAAAATACTAAAAGCTTATCAATTTTTTGTTGGAATATTGCCATTGTCCTTTAAATATGTATCATGGATTAAATATTCAACAAATGAAGAAAAAGTTTTTATAAAAACAAAACGAAAAGAAAGCAAGCACAATGTTCATTCAAGAGCATAAAACAAACGAAAAGTAAATGATTCATTCTTGTAACAATTTGCCGGAAGAAGCAAAAAAACAAACCGATAAAATCATTATTATTCATTGATAGAATATCATCACAGATAATAAACTGAGATAAAAAAAAATGGATTATTCTCAAAAAAGGAAAACATCATTTTCTCAATTTTTTTTTTTTATATTTAAACGTGCACGAATTTTTTCAAATGGTTCTTCCGTTAATGTAACATTAATTAATGTAAATAATTTATAAAAAACTATATTATGTAAGCTATAATGCGTTGTATTTATACCATCAAGACTATAATCATATTTTGAATATAATATTGTATGGCGATTTGGATTTGCTTTACCCGACGTATGATCATGTGTACGAATCATTTTATAACGAGCTATTTCAATAGGATAACGTGTAATCGACTTTTTTAATTTCTTTACAACACGTAAGTACATATCGTCGTCTTCGCCACCCCAACCCCAATAAACAGTTGGATAGCCATTTGCGCCAATAAAATCTGTTAAATTAAATGCAGTTACACCACCAAACAAGGTAGAATAAAGCAATTTATAATTAAATTTATCAACAGCAACCGACCTAAAATAAAAATATTGCAAAGGAACTGCTTATGAAGTAGTTGAAAGTCAATATTAATGTGTTCTTGCGTAATCAACTAGCAAGTTAAAAAACAAGACAGATGCCGCTCGAAATATCAGAAGAAGTTTTTCAAAACAAAGCCAGGCAAATACAATTCACGATTCAAATCAAAATGTAGATTAGAGATGTGCAAATTCAATAAATCTAAATCAAATCTAGAGAAAATTATTTAATAATTATCGTTCGATTTATTTAGTCGGTGAGTAACTGCTAGTAGAATTTGTCATTCAATGGTAGGATTAGCTTTTTTCTCATGTCTCCATACATGTCTACTGCAGATTATATGCATCATTTTTAAGAAATAAAAATAAAGCATAGAAGATGCACACTAAAAAGAATAACATTAAGTTAATTTAAAGCTAGTAATTGATAGACCTTGAAAGAGTTATCTGACAATAATTGGTATTCAACTTTCAAAAAACCTATTATTCTCGATCATGTAGATAAGAAAATAGTCTAGGAAAATGAGTTATTAGTCAATAGCAGTCTTTTCTAAAGACTTACATATGTCTTGGTCGACCACCACATTTATAAACATTTCTTAGATCTTCTGGCAAAAGATCAACATCATGAAAAATGAAACAATCAAATGGATATAATTTCATAGCTTCTATATAGCCCACGTTAAACAAAGCAGCACGATTAAATTGATCTTTTCCATGTTGATTAACAATAAATATTGTATAGTCAAGTTTTTGTTTTTGTAAAAATGGATGAATATTAGCTAGGAATAGTTTTAAATGTTGTTCACGATTACGATAACATATAATAAGAGCTAAGCGTTGTTCTGTTTGGCATCCTTCTGGAATAAAATGTCCACCTGGATATAGACCTTTTCCGTGATCTTCTTCAATAACATTATATAAATTAAGTGTTTGATTTATAGTTACTTTATATATCGACGTATCATTATTTGATATAGAAAAATTACAAACCGGCAAAGAATTATAAATGTTTGGTGGGGATTTAAAATAATTAAATGACGAAAAAGAGGAGGCGTTTAAAAATGGAATAGGTGCGGTGATTGGATGTGCTGTAGTATTATAGATTGTGGTTGTTGAAATGGTAGTAGCGATGGTTTGGTTCACTGTTATATTCAAAGGTGAATTAGTGAATGTGAGATTATGAGCGATAGCGGTGGAATTTATATCAACAGTATGATTAGTCTAAACAAAATGAAAAAAAAAACATTATTGTTACTATTGATTCATGTTCAAGAATTCTGTTTATTGATTTACTTGTGTTGATTTGTCATTACTTGAATGTGCTTGGTTTTTTTGGACGGAGGATAGGCGATTATCTGACGATTTGTTATAAATTGATGTTGATATTAATAATGACGTCGGATTTACAATAGTTGGCTCGATTCTTTTTATTTTTAACGTAGCAATATAGTAAAGTGCTTGAACAAAAACAAGTGAGCACACGAATAGAAAGACAGTACGTCTATTTTGAAACATGAAGACCACTGATCAACTATCTGATGCATGTGAATTCTGAAAGCAGTTTCTTTTAATTCATCATGACTTCACCACAAACAACTCACAGTGAATAAAAAGGATGGTACCCTACAATAAAAAAAGACCCACAAATGGAAAAAATATATCTCAATTTATTTTTCGTTCTTTCGCTTTTTTATTACTCATATAACACAAAAAATACTTTTTTTGTGTATAAATATAGATAGCTACTCTTTATTACAAAATCATTCGCTTTTTTAAATCTTGCCTAGGTGATAGATTTATACGATGGAGTTAAAACAAATATCATTTTTTCCACAGAATAATTCTCATTTTAATCCTTAATACTCTCTAGCCAATCTATTCTCAAATAGTGATTAAGAACGAGTTTTTATGCTTTAGTGACGTACGAGTTATGAATATATGTAGATTGTTTTTCTTTAAATTATCATACTCTTCAGTAGTTTTTCTACATAAATAGGACTTGCATAGTTAATAAGTTTGATTCTACTGTGTTTTTCTTGTTGATTTCATTTTATCTTACTCAACCTGAAAAAGAATCTTACTGGCAGACACATGTTCTGCGCATAAATACACATTTGAGTAGTTATGCAGAAAGAGAAAACGACGTAGTCAACCAGCATACGAGTTATTCATGAGAATCTCAAGATATAATAATTTCTTATCAACGTGAAAGTTATTTCAAATATAAAATAAGCGACATATGCGTTGAAAGGTTTTATATTAGCTCTTCAAAATATCAAATATCTACAGTAATCGAATAATTCTTCTTTTTATTGGTTGATTCTAATTCCACCTGGACTCCTCATACTCAAAAGTATCGATCGCAATATTCGTGTGTTATTTGCCTACTATACTCATAGCATATTATTAATTGAATGCATTCTTGTTTTTTTCTCTCAGAGAAGTATCTCGTGATAGAAAATTATAGAAATTGTTTTTCTTTTGTTCTTTTTTTCAATGGGCTTAGTATGATATGTCAGGAGACAATCATAATTTCCTGGCCTTTCAACGTACTATTTCAGAAAATATATGAAACTGTTATAGGCATAGCTTTTCAATTATAGATATAAGTACTCTTCATACTGAGAGATGTTCTAATTAAAGTAATTGTTATCATTTTCTTTTTGGTCATTGAAATTATCAATCCGTATTTGTTTAAAATATCAAACACGTAGAGCGAAAAAAGAAAAAAAAGATAACTTACAATTTAATTTATAAATTCATTGGTAGAATCATTCTAGAAAAAGAGAAAAAAATCTTACATTGATATAATCTATCGTTATAAAATACGCATGCATATTATACAACTTCACTATGATTCCAGCGTATTCATTATATTGAGCTCCATATACTATTGATTTACACTCTCTAAATATTTGACTTTGAATGGACCTTTAATCTCATTCTTGTGCTACGATAGGAAAATGTCTTCTCTAGATTCAAACTCCTAATAACATTTCCTGTACTCAACTGATAAAAATGAATCGAGATAGATTCTTCTTACATGATGTAATCACATTTATAGTTTTGACATCAAATATTTTCGGAGAAGAAAAACTCTTCTTTCACTTACTACAATCAATTTTCAGTTGATTTCAGAAGCTTAACAAATAGTCTTTGTTTCAAAACTCTAAATCATACCTTACACAATTTCTCAGATCAATATATTTCAAATAATATCATTACTTTAATAACAAAACAATGTTTGTGACACGCCACCACTAAAATAACAAACCTTCACGTAAGACTATCTCTGAAAGAAAAAAAATCAAAATTTTCATCTACAATAAAGAAACAAAAGAAGAGAAAAAAAGACATGAATAATTATAACAACATATATTCAAGATAAGAAGACAAAACAATATAATTTTTTTTTCTCACAACTATCTGAACAGTTAGCCGATACATCACAGTACACCAAAGAAAAACAATATGACGATACATTGAAAATGATTATGAAATTAGTCAGTTCGGTCAACATCATTATCATCGTCATAGTATTCATTGGATGCATCAGCGCTAAAGAAAAAGAAAATTATCTAAAGATTCGAAAGAAAAGTATTATTTTTAGTCTCTTACCGTCTTGTCGGCTTTCCTCCAACATTATTATTTGTATCAAATAGATCAGGTGGTACATCTTGCATTTGAACTGATGGTGCATGGGCAAGTAAACGTAATTTTTCATTAACAAATTGAACTATTAATTCTAAATACTATAGTAATGAAAAGCGAAAAATTAAAAATTTCATCGAAATTAAAGATTTTATACTTGTCGAGAATTTCCATTTTCAATTTTTGGATTAAACAAATTCGGATGTAATTGACAATCAGGTGCAAAAAATTCCATATAGTCTAAAGAAAATATTTTCTTGTCTTAATTATGTTCTCAATGTTTTCATACCATGAAATGGTATATCATTAGAAAGCTGTTCATTAAGTATTAATGATGTTTCATACGTCCAACAACGTGCTACATTTTTAACTGTATAACCACCACCACCAACAACGAGACTAAATGAAGAAATTTAATGAGAAAAGTTTTATTTGTTTGTCTATGAAATAAATATTTACACTGGTAAATTTTGTTCCATAACAAAGGAAACACATTTTCCATGCCCTTTTATAGATAAATTAAAGCAGCCTAGTCGATCACCGCCAAGTGAATCAGCTCCACATTGAAGAACAATACATTTTGGACGATAATATTGCATCACAGTAGACATTACTGGCTTGAAAACAAGTTCATAGTAGTCTAAAGAAAAATTACTATGGATTATATCTTAATTAATAATGCTCAATTTCGAAAGAAAAGGATCAGCATAAGACACATGATATATAACGTAACGTAGAAACTCCGGAAAAATGAATTAAATCATGGAAGATATGCCGCTCGTTTGTCTTCCGTGCTGAATAAAACATGCAATGAGCCTATGGTCTCTAATAAAGATAATTTGATTTTCGTAACACGAGCAATCTAAAGTGATCAAAGCGCTTCGAAATATTAAAAAAAACTTGCTCGAGGTTGTATAGACACAACTGAAAGAAAAAACTACTTAGTACATAATAATCACGCTTTTATATATATATATATGACTTGTTAAGCATGATTTTAAAGGAATGCTTACGTTCAAACTTCCTTATCTTTTGAAAGACATCCTCAGCAACGCTACTACTTCACTATCGCCATAGATGTCGTTTAAGTAGCTCTGTCTCGTTTTACATCAAAGACAACAACCATAGAACAAATAATACGTGTAATTCCAGGAGGGATTATGTTTACAGTTGCATATTCACAATGGGGAAGTGGAATTCGAGAAAAAGAACAATTTTTTCTCCTAGACACATCTAATAGAGAGTATTTCTTTTTGCTTTATGTAGAAAAAAAGATTGCTCGTGTTCTTAACAGAACTCAATAGTTTGAGGACATTTTTCATCAAATCAAGAGTGATTTAGTACAACTTAACAGACGCATACTTTTTATTCTCTAGTGAAACTCAACAATCTACTCACCGTCATCTGTAATTCCTTCCCGAAGTGGCACATTGATTGAATAATATCTTCCAGTTTCAGCTCCGATTTCATACATACTTCCTATAAACATAAAAAAGTTTATTGCTAATCACCTTTTATTCTAGCATACCAGTTCCAGGAAAAAAGTTATTTCCATATTTATGAAATGAAACAGTCATCACACGGTCCGTAAAGTAAAATGCTTCTTGTACACCATCACCATGATGAACATCAATATCAATGTAAAGTACACGTTCGTGATATCTAAAGAAATAAATTTCGAGAACATAAATAAATTTTCTCTTTCAATAAATTTACTTGAGTAATTCAAGAATAGAAATGACAATATCATTGACATAACAAAATCCTGATGCCTGCAAAAACAAATAAAATATAAAAATCAAGAAGATGTATTTTAATTTTATTTACTTCAGATTTTTTAGCATGATGAAGACCACCTGCCCAATTAATAGCAACATCGCTTTGCTAATTAAATATAGATAGAAATTAACCATTAAATATAAATACAGAATAATTCATACTTTATGATTAAGTTTAGTTGCTGAAAGTAATGATGAACCAGTATAGAGTTTACAAAAATCAAAGAGACCTGTAAATACAGGACAATCATCGCCCAGATTATAAATTGAATAAAAACGTTGAAATTCTTGACTATTTGGTGCAACACGCGAAAGAAAATCAACATAATCCTCCGAATGAAAACGTGTCATATCATGAATACTAGCTTCCGATGGACAATAAATCTAGAAGTATTTTTTTATAATTAACAAATAGAATAATATGAGAAATAAATAAGCAAGCAAGCAACTTACATTCATTTTTTTATGCATTTTATATTCTAATACAAGACAATTTGTTAGTTCAACACGATACGGTTTCATAGGATGTCCAGGTCCATAATGATATTTGCCTACAGTCTTAAAAAGTTAGAAAAAAAAGTAAGTTATTCTTAGAATGAATGAATTCGATAACCTACCGGATTCATCATATAGGCAAAAGTACGTTTCTGTGTTGTCATTTTGTGTGTTTCGATAGCGAAAAAAATTAGATGTTGATTGGATTATCCCATTTAATTTAATTCAATATTTGTTAATTAACTGAACTGTGAACGAACGAGAATATTAAATGTACACTATACACCACCTAGATTATTATAGTTGAAGCAAAGAAAAAAAATGGTTATGATGTAAACAAATAACGTTTCACACAAACGCGGATAATAGATGACGCTAATGATCGGTGTGCAAGGTGTACCGAGTCGAACCATTACTCGAGAAAACTCTAATAAAGAAAATTAAGAATTGATTTCGTGATATATATATATATAGTGGAATGCAAAAAAATTGCCGTTGAACTTGAGCATTTTCTCGCGTCATATATATGAAGCGCATAAATGAATTCTTCTGAAACTTTTATCAGTAATCAAGGATGTGCTATAGATTTTA